AGTAGAACATCACTTTGCATTTACTCTCGAGCAGGGTTCTCGATCCTCTAGCCAAATAGCTCAGGGGAAATGACAATGGAAGAGGAGACACGTCAGCGATTCCTGGTTCAGCCCTACTGTGGTGTCTGTGCTTCTCTTCCAAAGGTCTCTAATAGATGATGTCTTTGGTCTTTATTTTGGTAGCACATGGACTCAGATTTGAGTGATGATGACAAAACAGCTGTAGAGAGTGAGGAGGAGGAAGGTCACGGCCCTGACACCCTATGGACTGGAATTCTACTCTTGGTGAACATGGGTTGCTGCCCAGTCAGTTCACTCGATGGCAGCCAGGTAGTGATTCAGGAAGAAGACAGAGGCGGTATTGGAAAGTGCCTTTCGTGTTTGAGTTAGTCACGTGGCACCTTTCCTTCTGCTCCCTTGCTGCTCAGTCACCCCTGTGGGAAGGAGCTCGGGCCTGGGGAAGGTGGTCTGAGCTTGCCATCCCTTCTCTGGGTGCTGTCTGCGCACAACTCCAGTCCCCGCTACAGTGGGGCAGGAAGACCCCCAGCCACCCCCCTTTGGGACATTTGCTATTTGCGACAGTTCCTCTGTCATGAGACAAGACAAAAGTGAGGTGCGGGGCGTGGACCCATATCAGGCGTTGGGTGGCTGTGGGAAGGCACGCCGGCACAGGGCAGCCGGCCTTGCTCGTAGGCTCCCGTCCCGGGAGCCTGTGCTGTGTGATTGATTGGCCGTCTTGGCAGGAGACGCTGGATTCCATCATCTCCTACCAGTCACTGACTGGGCCCCAGCCCCGCTGCTGCTCTGAGCGGGTGTGCTGTTCGGTCAACTCTACAAGAGGTGTGCCTGTGTGTTTCCATTCGGCAGGATGTGCGTTTCCGTTCCACCCACTTCACGGAGAAGCTGAGGAGAATTTTTGTGGAAGACACGGACTCGGAGATGGAAGATTTCAGAGGGTTTCCACAGAGCGATCCGACTGGAAGCCGTGACTCGGAGAGCGTGGTAATGGCTGACAGCCGGTGGGGTGGGCTGAACCGCTTTAGCAGTCCTGCCTCCTGAGTCGCATGTGTATTTATAAGAACTCAGTTCTCAAAAGAAGATTTTGCTTTTTCTTACGTATTTACCCTATGTGTAAATCGGTGTAATTTGTCTGCCACTCTGGCCACCAGCCCACTGTCCTCTTGTCTGTTGGCTTCTTGGGCCTGTGGAGGTTCCGGGCATGCCCTAGGTGCCTCTTTCCGCCCCATCAGGGAAGGTACCGCAGATGCCCTTGAACTGTTTTGTTTGATTTTAAATCTTTTCATTCTACCTTGGTGAAACAAGTTCTGTTATTAGTTGTAATATTCTGTAAATTTGGGGTTAGGCAATACAATTTAGCTGTGATACAGGTTTTCACAAGGTATTCTTTTTTTTCATTCCTTTTGGTAAGATATGTACAATTGCCATTTTGAACACATTTCAAGTGTGTAGTTGAATTGGTGTTAATAATATTCATGAAGCCATGCAACTATCTTCACCACTATCGTTTTCAACTTTCTCTTTACCTAAATGCAAACCGCGTACCCACAAAGTAATAATGCCCTCTCCCGCCCCTCCTCTCTCCAGCCCCAGGTCACAGCGAGCCTGTCTCAGTGATTTTGCCTGTTCTGCACGTGTCACCTTAATATGCATCGTTGCACGATGGGTTCAGGATTCATCCTTGCTGTGGTGTCTCTCAGAACCTGTTTTCTCTCTGTTACTACATCGTACTTTGTTACGAGCTTACCCCACACTTCAGCTAGGCCTCTTGGAGATTTGAGGGCCCTCTGCCTCTCGCTGTTGCGGCCCTTGGGTTACAGCGTCTGATGGAGTCTCTGCTTTCGGTCTTTGGGGTCCATAGCGTCACATGGAGTTGTGGGGTCAAGTATTCTGGGCTTCGCTTCTGAAGGATGGCCAGACCATTCCCCCAGGACTGGCCCATCTTCCATTCCCACAAGCATTGCTCAAGGGTTCCATATTTCCCCTCATCCTCACCACCACGCGGGTGCATTCATGAGGCATTCCTGATGCGACACGACACGCATTTTAACGTTCACATTCTGGGCCCGCGAGGTTTCCTCAGGGAACTGGCTCAGAGCACTGTCAGTGAGGGACTCCTCGTGAGCTCCTTTCTTTATTCCATGTGGCTAGTCCAGCTCACCCTCCACTAGTGTGTGGGCAGGGTAGCTTCCAAGAACCACTTTGCCTTTTTATTTAGTGTAACGATGTTGTGTGCTAGCTGAAGGAAGCATACTGTGTCCCCAAAATGACATATACTACTTTCTTCTGCATCAAGAGACAAGGTGGAGCTTAACCCTCTTGGCATTCAGAAGCACCCAAAGAGCAGCACTTGGCAGGGACCCTGCATGGGCATATAAGGAAGCTGCGGCTGCCCTTTGCGTTGAGCCTCTCATCTTTTCCTAGAGGGGAACTTGAGGCATGAAAGCCCTAATGGTAGGCTGCCTGTTTGATGGTGGCGCTTTCCATGAATAGAAGTTCCGAGTTGTGCCAGCCCTTGGCCCCGGGTCTGATTTGGCTCTCTTAGCAGCTGTTTGTGAGGCAACTCGTGTTCTGGCCAGCGAGCCTCGCCTTTTTGCCAGCAAGACACTAAGATCCTTCCAAACCCTGATGGGTATCATCTTCTCGTAGTGATTTGCCTTCCGTTCTGTAGCTAAGCGATGCCTAGTGACTCAAAGAATCTGTGGGGGGCAAGTCGACTACCCTCAAAGTCTTGTGTGTTTGAGGTGGGGGTGGCTCCTCAGAGTAAAGTTTAAGGTAAGGAGTGGGAAACGTGCTGTGTTAACTTTGCTGTAACTTAACAGTTCAGGGC